GGCTCACGGCTTGTGTGTCGTTTGTAGGCCTGCTGGGACCAGGGCTTCAGGAGGACGCCATGGCCGGGAGGTGAGTGACCTGTCCCGAGACCGCTCTCGGTTCGCGGTTGCAGTGTACTCGTCACAAGTTTTCTTGCGAACTGGGCGTTTCTGAGAGTGTTTTGTTAAAGCTGCAGGCAGTGGTCTGTTTTCCTGCGACTGCCCTCGCTTTCCAGGGTGGCTCCTTTACCCAGTGCCCTCCTGGGCCCTCTGTTGAAGGCCCGATGCTGTGCCTCTCTCTCCTGAAACCTCTGCTTTAAGCTGGTCGTAGCTGTCCATACGCTGTGCCACGCTTTCCCCGGGCTGTCAGTGGATGGGGGATATTGATGGTGGTTTTGTTAGCACAGTGTTTGTGAACCTTTAGTGCATGGTAGAGGCTTTGACATTGTTTCCTTGAGTAAGTGAGCTACTGTGACAGTGCGTTTTCATATGAGTGGAGGGATTGAATCTAAATCGCAGCTTTCTGTCAGTATTTGTCTTTGGAGTTTTACCTTGTTGTGCATGTGTGGAAAGTAGGACTGGATAGCTTGATTCAATACTTCTGTGCTGCGGGACAGTTGCTGGATGCAGGGGAGACAGTCATGTCGTGTACACGATGTGTGGAATGAGCTTAACTATTGCTTTACCGGTTTAGTACAGACAGATCTTTGTTGTGAAGAGTTGTTGAGGAGTTTGTGTTATGTCACTTGTCCAGTGCATGTGGGGCTGTCTCTCTGGCTGTCCCCGTAGACCGCAGTTAACTCCTTTGAGGCTACAGATTAACAGCAGTTAATGTCTTCTCTTATAACAGTTACTGCAGCACAGGAGACTCGGTTATGTAGTGTGTAGAAAAAAAAGTGATGTTTACTTGTCACGGAGTGTTTGTAGACATGTGAAAACATAACACCTACTAATGTTGAAGGACTTTGATTTTAGTATGAAGTCTGTAGTGCCAGAAAGATACAAAATTCTCATTAATACTTCATGTCTCAAGTTACTTAGCTTTCCTCTGGTGACTGAATCTAAGGATTTGCAGTAATTAGTAAAAGCAAAAGCAGTGGGGTTTTTCCTCAGCTGAATATGGAAATAGTTTCTACTGAAGCATCGTGTTATTTGTTTGTACATTTGATACTTTGGAGTGAATTACAATTTTTAAATGTTTTCAATGCCTTTAGGTTGTGGTGCAAGGCCACTTTTGCTGGCTACAAACGTGGCCTCCGAAACCAGCGGGAGCACACTGCCCTCCTGAAAATTGAAGGTGTTTATGCCCGTCAAGAAACAGACTTTTACTTGGGCAAGAGGTGTGCCTATGTATACAAAGCTAAAAAGTAAGTCACTTTATTATGCTAAATCAGCCAACTTGTAGATCAGCTTTTGCAAATGCCAGGATGCAAGCAGTCCCTTTATCGAGCTTTTGTTAGAATGAAAGTAGATCTGGCTCAGTTCATCAGTAGAATGTCCATGGAGAACTGTGTAGACCAGCTTCCTGAGTTGATTTTGTTTTTAAAGTCCTTGGCTATTTTTGCTTTAATTGGCCTGTGTGTTCTTAATTCATATTGTGAAATTATGTGAAACAATCATGTGCTGTTACAAATGAGATGTTAGCAAATGGGATGAAAAACAAATTTTGTCCAAGACTGTCAAAAAACTGAAGGCGGCTTGATAGACTAAATTGCAGTGAGGTGAATTTGTGTGGAGTACTACGAGCTATTGAGTTACTGAAACAGAAGAATTATTTTGTGAAGCCTGGAGGAATTTGTATCCTGGCTTTGGCATGCCTGTGTCAGAGCACTGTCATTTCTGCTGTGCTGGCATTGGGGGCCTTAAGAACACTTATTATGACCTTCTGCTTAATTTTTCTTTGAATGTAGTTGTTGGAGTTCAGATATGGGAGTTCAGAATTGCCTTGGATAGAATTGATCAGACTGTTAGCTTGACCACCATAATTTCCAAGATGGCATATGGTTTTTGTTCTAAATCAATTTTTTGCAGTCTGCCCCAACAGCTTAGGCCTCTCCTGCCTGTGGTGGATCTGGGGAAATCTTACAAATAAGATGTTGCATTTTCTTTGAAGTTGAAAATGTTGAGTTTTCAGTTTGATCTTCTTAGCATCAGTGCTTTCTGTATTTTTAAGCTTTATGATTTGTTAGTAGTGCTTCGGCAGAGCTTCTGATAAATTACAAGCTGAAATACTTCCCTGTTTGGGAGGTATAGTGAAGATCCCAGGCCTAGTGATTTTCGCAGGCAAATAAAAGTGGAAAGTGGTCCAGTTGAAGATCGGTGTGGAATAAAGTAATGGAAGTGCTGTAAAGAGGCTGCATTGTTGGTCCCGTACGGAGCTGTGGCTGGTGTGCTCAGCAGCAATTTTCCTCTCTTTCCTCAGCAACACCGTAACTCCCGGTGGCAAGCCCAACAGGACACGAGTGATCTGGGGGAAGGTAACCCGCGCCCATGGGAACAGTGGCATGGTTCGTGCCAAGTTCCGCTCCAACCTTCCTGCCAAGGCCATTGGACACAGAATCCGGGTGGTAAGTGGATTTATTTTAGCAACAAAGTATTTATTGGCAGGTTTTGGGGTGCATTTTAATCCCACATAGTATGAGGGAAAGCTTGACCTATGATTTTTACTCTTTGCTAAGTGCTGCTTTTGGAGCTGGGAGGGGTTCATAGCTGGCTGCTTGGGCTGAGGGGGTTTGCCTCATTGCCAGGGGTCTTGTGTGCTTGCTCAGGTTGCCTGGGAAAGCTCTTCAAGCTCCAGGACTCTTCATCGGCACTGTTGTAAAGCTGTCTTGATTTCTTCTCCCTGGATCTTGTGCGTGTATTTTTGCATCCTTCTGCTCCAGTTCCTACCTGTTGACAGATTTTTCTCCTACCTTGCAAGTGTTTAACTGAGGGCTGTGCTGTCCTGCGCCATCTACTAGCACCTGCTACACAGGCTTCAGTGAGACTGTCCCTTTTGATCCCTCACCCAGAGCTTTGATGCAGTATCTTCCCAGTGATGTTGTCAGAGGGGTGCAGTCCTGCCTTGATGTCTTTTCTCCTGTGCTTTAGAAAAAGCGCAGTAGGAGCGGCACAGTTAAATCCTGAAACTGGACCTGTGAGGACTCTGCTGTCCGTGAGCGGGGCTGGCTGCCAGGGAACCTGCGCACCAGCAAAGTGCTGCTTCACGTCACTGAGCTGGCTGTTACGCTTTGCCATTCTTGCACCTCTTCTGTGTACGTGGGAGGGTCACTTTTATAGCGGTTGAAGAGATCCAAAGCTTGTGTTTATAATAGTACAGTCCAGTAAAAGGATTTCTAATGTGATTCTGTTCTTTTCTTTTGTAGATGCTGTATCCATCTAGGATCTAAATTTTTATTGGAAATAAAATGGAGAATCTCTTTAAATTTCGTACATTGCTATTTTTATCCCTTCCACCTATTTTTGAGGGACTTCGTTCTTTTTCAGTAGGCAATCAGAATTCGCAGCCCAGGGATGGAGTAGTGACTCAAGGCTAGCCCATGAGATGGAGATGTGACCTGTGGTTGGCCAGGCGTTCGCAGAGCAGACTCCGTTCTGAAGACAAGTAACTGCCGGCCTGTACTGCGGCCTGTCTGTGCCTCCCATTGTGGAATCTGCGTGGTTTGCAGGGCTGAGCAATAAATGCTGACAACCTCATGAGCTGCACACAAGCTTTATATAGAACATGAGAAATAGTTCCTTGCCTACCTAGCGTAGGGAAACTTCTTGTTCCTGTTTCTCTTGCACTTGGCAATGACCACTGTTTAGACAAAGCTGTAATGGGACACTGACACTACATACTAGTAGGTGTAAGTCCTAGCCTGTATCTAAAAATCGTGGAACCACAAAGAATGAGACCATATATACCTGGGCAGCGTGCGTGCCTGTAGCATCTGCTCTGTGAAACCTGTTCAGACATGTTTTCATCACCCAGCTCTGTGAGTGCCTGAGTGTTGGTACCTGCTGGTTTTCTGGCCAGCCTTGTTCCAGTGTGTAGCATGGGGTGGGGAAGATCATTACGTCAGGCTAGTGTATTGCTTTCGTGAGTTCCTTAAGGTTTATTGAACGAGAAGGTCGTAAAAAAAGAGTTTAAAGATTCCGGAAGTGCAAACCTCAGAGTTTCTTAGTACATACCTCAAGAATACTGGGTAGTTTTAAGGGAAGTTTGAGGCAGCTGCAGGGTGGTGTGGTTACTGCTGATGTCATGGTCCCAGAATGAACCGTTGATGCCCTGGGCAGGTGGTACTGCTGATTCTGTGTTGCTGTTTGGTCGTTTGGAAAGCGTCCCCAGTGCAGGAGGCTGGTGAGTTGCTGCCGTAACTGTCCCTGGTCCCACTCTGGTGCAGGTCTGCTCCCTTGTGAGGGAGAGCTTCCATCTCCCTGCCTGCAAGGAGCGCTGGGGGCTTGGCTTGGCTTCTGTCTCCTGCAGCAGCCTGCTATTTTGTAACTCTGCCTTCTGAAGGAGGTGGAGTAGTCGCGTGTTCCGAGTACTTTACTGGGTAAATTAAGACTTGAATGGCAATTCGGACAGAAGCTGTCTGGACCTGGCTGCTCAGCCATTATTTTACTGGACTTGCTTCAAGAACTAAACCTGCTGCTACTGCCGTTTCCAGCAGCAGGACAGCACTTGCAGTGGAAAGCTGCATTTTATTTTTTTTAACATGGAGAGAAACTGCAGCTTGTGGGATGCTGGGTCAGGTCAAGCAGGGCTGTAGTCTTCTGTAAATACCAACAGGTTGTACACATAGGGTTCAGAGAAGGATGGGGTGGAATAGAAATTGAATTTCCAGTTTGGGGCATTACAAGAGGAAGGAGGAGGACGAAACCTAGTGGGCAAATTGGGCTGTAACATCAGGTTGGTAGGACTGTGGTCACCATTGCGTGGTTGGATTCTGTGATGAGAGAGTCATAAGCGCTCTTGAGTTTGAGGTAAGATGCCCCAAAATACATAATGATCCCTTTCCTCTCGTCTTTTTTCTGCTGTACCAGACTGCTGAGGTACAAAGCCCATTCCTGGGAGGTCCAGCATCAAATAGCATATGGCTACAATTTTTGGATCTTTGTGTCAAAGCTGCTGTTTCCCATTTGCTTGGTCCCACCACAACCATATTATGTGTTGTACCTGCTGGCTGCTCAGAGCAGCAGGTGTAGCCTGTTCCAAGGCCTGTGCGACGCAAGTGCCTTGGCTGCAGCAAACCCCTTCCACTCCTGTCCCTGGCAGCTTGGGGGGGGAAGCTGCAGCCTTGGAGGAGCCTGCTGTCTGCTCCTTCCTGGGCAGAAACTCCTGGGAGCTCCTCAGCCTGCTGGGCATAGCAGGGACATGGAATGGACAGGTGCTGGTGGTGGAGGTAGACGATGACAAAGCAAGAGCTCCCTTGGTGCTGGTGGATTTTTGCCCCAGACCTGTGTGGTACAGCTGATGTCAGGGCTAAACTACAGCAGGCAGAGAGGATGGAGGAGGAGGTTTGGCCACACCTGGCTTTTACACTGTGGCAAGCTGCTGTGTGGAAGCAGCTCATGCAGTTGGGGTCACCTGGATGAGGCCCTTGGGGATGTGAGGAACCTCCTCCCCTGCCTGCCAGACGTGCTGGTGCTTGTGATGATGTGTCCAGAGCCCCAGGAGCAGTGGGACCAGGCAGTGGGTCAGGAGAACACAGTGCCTGTGGGGTGGGGCCTGACAACTGGTGGTGGAGGCAGCAGTCTGCAGCCCAGGCCAGCCCGGTGCTATCCTGGAGGCAGAGAGCTGCGTGTAGAGTACTGAGAGAAGTCTTAAAGGGCTATGAAAGTGCCTTGGGACGCAGCTAGACACAGGGGCTAGGGACAAAGAGACAGGCTTTCTGGAAACAAAAACACCCTTGGGGTGGGATGTGGAAGGGTCTGAGGGACCGTGTAGATCAAAGGGATGCTCAGTGGCTGGGTTGAGGTACAGGAGGACAGATAAGCTGAACCTTGCAGGAAGTGTGAGCTGGAAATGAGAATGCTGGGATGGGGATGGACAATGTAGTCTGAGCAACTGTGTGTCCTCTTCCAAATTAAACAATGGTGGCTTTTGCTCCTTGCCCTGAAGCACACGTGGCTGTGGAGATGCTGCTCGGCGTAGGAACTGCAGTCCTGACTCCACTGCTGGGCCTTTCTGTGATTGTGTTAACAGCTCTGTGGTCTCACTGACGCTGCGTTCTTCTTTGGAGGGGTGTGCCAGCTTTTTTGGGTGAGCCATAGGCCACAGCTTTGACCAGGATGATGCCTGCTGTTTTACCATGTGCGTTTCCTACCCTAGGAGTCGGCTTCCGGGGTCTGTTTATCGTTTTGCTCCCAGAGTTCAGGTGCTGCTGTGCACTGCCTGAACATAGGCGACACGAGGTGTCGAAGACAGCTGGAGAATTAATTCCCCTGGGCAGCAGAACGTGGCAGGCTGGTTTCAGCGCTGTTCATGTGGATGTCCCTTTGTAGAAATACTTCCCTCCTGGTGCCTGGCTCAGACCTTCTGCATGTGCAGAAGTCCTTCTGCACGGACGTGATTCAGTATGTGGCTGCTGCCAGAAGGGGACACTGCACCCTCAGCATCACGCTGTCCTTGCTACTAAGCTCAGATTTCTTTCCTGCATTGGCTGAACAACCTACCCCAGGAGACATCTATAAAAAATCACTGAGTTTCTGCTTTGTGTGAAATGCCTTGCTCGAATATCCAGCTGTCAACAGAGAGAGTCGGAGCAGGCCGGCGTTCTCTGGATCTTAAACTCTTCCCAAAGCTGAGATAGTGAAAGAACTCAGAGGTAAGACCTGAGACCACGTTTTCCCAGGAGAGCCTGGGTGCGGGGGTCTTTGGAACACAGCACCCATCAACACAAAGTTCTGAAATTCCCTGGGGTTCTTTGTAGTCACGGGATGGTGGGAGAGCGAGGTTTGCTGCCTCCTCTTGCTGATTGAACAAAATGCTGCAGACAAGGCAAAGGTCTGTCTACCTATTGCGCTGCTGTTTGTCATCAGCATGTCGGCCTTTCTCAAGTTACTGTCCTCACACCAGAGCAGTTGAAGGGTCTGGGATGAGCTGTCTAAATTGATCCATGGGATCCTTCCCACCTACCCCGCTGGAAGGACCTGTGGATGGTTTATGTGCACGGCATCCTCTGCAACTCGCTGTTTCACAGGCAGCCGCGCCAGGCGTGCCTGGTAGCTCAGCGTGGTGTGTCTGGGCACACGACACCTTGCTCTTAGTCACACTGTGCGTTCGTGCTTGATGTCTGAGCAGCCCCTGAACGTCCCATCCCTTCAATACGATGCATGAATGAAGCTTGCTGTATCTTGAGCCAGAGTGCAGTGAGATCTGTAGATCAGGGTCGCAGTGCCGGCTTACGGAGGTGCCAGCGCAGCTTTCCTGGGAGGACTGAGAGTGGTGTGAGCTGAACCTGCAGCGCGTGTAGGGCTGTCGGCTGGAGCGAGAAGAGCCCTGATCCGTGCCTGAGTGCGGACTGGCACTGCTGAGGCCTTCTGTAATGGGAAATCAGCCCCCATCCTCTGCAAACTAGAGGCACCGCAAGTGGAACAGTACATTATGTTCACTCATTCCTGGGCAAAAACAACCCCAAACAACTATGCAGATGAAAATACAGTATTTACCCAACTGTCCGTTAACAGAGCTATTGCAGGGAGCTGACTTTACATACAAGTGGGCATCCAGCAGGTTAAATTACTGGGGTGGGTTATTTTGGATGGGAGGAACTGTGGGAGCAGTAGATTGTTTCTGAGGCAAATGGCCCGTATAATGGCTGAACTCATTTCCCATCCTCTCTGGGCATGGCAAGGCTCTATGGTAAGCTGCACACTTTTCCATTGGGAGTTTATATGCATTTCTTCTCTGTTTGTTGTTTTGTTTGTTTTTGTTTTTTTTACAGATCCACCTAAGATCTTAACTATCACCAAAAGGAGTATTAAAAACCTGGTATTTATTTCATTTCCCTGTGTGTCTGTGTGTACCTATAAGCTTTAAAGCTGTACATGAAAAACTATCAAACCCCTGCTGAAGCTGCAGGTTTGTGCAATACAGTACAGAAGGAGTGGGATCTGAGCGTGGTACAGAGCCTCTGAACCAACATTTCTCAGGGAAAGGATCCCCCAGGTTATTTTTCAAATACAGGTTCTTTCCACATCCATAAGAACAGCGTGGCTTTACAAAGCAAAACAGCCTTGCTGTAGGTGTTTGGGTTGTGCTGGTGCTTGGCAGCCTCTTGGATGAGGTGCTGGTCCTGTGGAAAAAAACCTGCTTGAAAGGATGGGGGAAAATGACCTTGCCCAGCTGCCTAAACAGAATTATGACACACGTGACCCAATTGCTCTGTTGTGGAAGAGACTTTCCAGGAGCAATTGGGCATCTTAAGATAAATTCCCC